TTGGTTTTGCAATTTTCCTATTTTGTAGGTTATCTATTACTGCCATCTACCATAAGGTGACTAACATGGTAGGTGACCTTGTTAAAAGTGCAAGGCCCTTTACCCCACCCCAAAGTCATGTTTCAGTAGGTTTGGGATGTGCCTTGGAATATGCCATTTACTAAGTCAGCAGGTATAATTCCAATATAGGTGACCCTTCAAACATAGTTGGGGAAACATTGCTGTGTGCACTTAAAGTAGTAGCTCTGAGGCTTTTTAGATCAATATTTCAGCAATTGATAGATAAGCCTAGAAAGTATACTGCATTTTGATGGGTATGAATTATTGAGAAAAGAAGCCCTCAAAGTGCCCTCCGAGGGTAACCATCACATTGGGTTTGGTCCCTACAGCATCTTGTATGATGTTACAGTTCCAGTGCTGGATTATTCCTCTCATTTATTCACTATTGGTAAGGAGACATGGCACTCTAAAGTAGTGCTTGGATATTCATGAGAAACATGCCATTCATTACAATCCTTAGTGATTTCAGAAACCACAGATGCTGAGTCTACTAAATGTGGCTCCCATGACCTCCTCATTTAATGTTTCTGTCCTTTTCTAAGCATACCCTCTGTAATTATAGCTGGCTTCACTAGAACTGCCATGCACACAAAAATCAATAAAACCATGGAAGGGAATTGAAGTAAATTTGAGGCTTTTTAAGTAAATTCTCCACAGACTGTAATTGTAATTCCCAGAAACAGTGATTTTAAGGGAAATTAAGACATACTTTTACTCAGCTCTTGTTTAAAACTTAAGTACTGGAGATTTCTATTTTTTCTTCCAAAACATTCCTTCTTTTGAAGGCATTTATACTTAACAATTGGGAAAGAATATCAAAAAATTCAAACATCACATATTAGATTCATGACAGTCCCAGTTAGGGGTTGTTCGTGCACAATGCAATGCTCTCAAGACAAAAGTGACATAAGCCAAAAAGCACACAGGTAAAGGAATTTCTGAGTCGGGGTGGAAGTCAGTATGCGACGTGAACAGTAGTTACGTGGGAGTTACATCTACTGTCGTAAGAACAAGCAGGAAGCGTGGAAGAAAGGGAGCAGAGCCAGCACAGATGTGGGAACCACTCCCGGTGAGCCCAGGCCATGGCCGCAGGGGCTTGAGAATGGCAGTCTGGGTGAGTACAGGGGCCAGTCACTCAAAAACACAAGAGTTTACCTCCCTGTTGGGACTCTAATTTCCTCTCACACTTTAAATTCAAAACCTATGGTCCTTGAATTTTAAAAAAGAGTTGCTTGTCTCACTCTGAATTCTCTCACTATTCCTGAGTGATTTCATGTAGGTTTCATTATATTCTTGATTGGATGGAGGGAGGCAGGTTTTATACTAGAGACATTAGCATAGGAAATTTATAATCAGCACCTGTTCATCATCACCGCAAAAGCACGATGGTGATCATTTCATGTTGCTGATGATTGTTGTCACCATGATCATGATGATAGTAGCCACAACGTACTGATCCCTCACCATGTACCAGGCACTTGGTTAAACAAGGCCACTGTTAAGCTTTATGACACTTTTGTGCCTTTATTGATGGTGGATGAAGCCCACTTGGGGATATATGGCTTGAATAGCAAAACTCAGACTGGATTTCAGCCCCTACTCACACCTTGGATGAGTGCTCTTGTGCAGTGGACAACCTGCACAGATGTTTGGTATGTCGTTAAACATGTCGTTAAAAATGCTAGAAAGCAGGAGACCAAAGCTCAGTAAAGTTAAATAACTTCCCAAGACCAATCAGCTGTTAAGTTGCAGATTCTGGACTTGAACTAACGTCAGCCCCCAAAGTCACTGCCCTTGCTCCATGAACTATAGACCTATACCAGAGAAAGGTTTTGGTACAGCCATACATGATTTATTATAATAAGGAATATACATAGTGCTCAGCACACTATGCTTAAATAAATTTTAATTGGCTAAAGACACATTCAGAATTGCAACAAGGCTTAAAATAAAATGGAAACCTTGAATTACTGAACTCTGGTGCTCTTGAGATAAAAGGGGTTGCATGAAGACAGAAATTATTTTTGATTATGTTACATTACAAAGCATTAGATTCCACTTTGCATAATGTCTGAGGAGCTTTAGGACTGGTCTTTCCTTGGATCTCATCCCTCATCTCCTGCTCTCCAAGCCCCACTGGGTTCCCCTCACACAGAATGACCTACAATTCCTAGAATGCATTTCATGCCCTCACTCTGAGCCTTGGCCCTGTGCATGTAATTTTTATTTTTTTTCAGAATACCCTTCCTCCCTTCACCTTCATCACCACCTCTTGTCCCTCTGAACTCAGCTCAAACACATCTACGTGAGGACGTTTTCCTGCATCTCACACCCAGGTTAGAAGTGTGTCTCCAGTGTGTTCCAGGCTCCCTTACCTCTGACTTTCAGTTACATTCTACCCCGGGCACACCCGCAGGAGACTGGAGGGAGGGGGTAGAGTGAGGTCAGGTGACTGATTCCCGGCTCCCTCCCAGCATGGCCACTGCAGGTTGCCTCGGTCCTCAGCCCACCACTGCAGCTCCTGTGGGGAAGCGGCCTCTGTATTGGTCTCCCTCTGGGTCCTAACTGTCCACCACCTTCCTGCTTCAGATAGAGGGGTGCTGTGCCTGCCCCTGGTCCCTGACCCAAGAGTCCTGTGATGCTATTCCTACATCTTGCCCACATCTGTGTAAATAGCCCCTTTATTAACTCACCTCAGTTACCCAGCTTGAGATGCTCTCTGCTTCCTGCCAGGACTCCGTGTGGTAATCGCTGATCCCATCTGGGGTCCATGAGGCTTCATGCCTGTGCTGGCGGGATCTTCACACTCTAGGCCCCTCCTAAGTCCCTTAAGAAAAGTCAGGTCTTTCTAACAGGGTTTCTAAAGAATTTTCAAATCAAGTCCAATATGACTTTCCCATGACTTTTGGATACACAATTTCTTTCCCAGATCTTACACCTAAAAATGCTTGAATTGCCTTCACACCCTCAGCCTTGCACCCATGACTTTGTCCCAAAGCAACTGCTTTACCAACTTGCTCCAGCTTTGCATGATTCTTGTAGCTTCTCTAGGTTCTTTGCTTTCCACAATCTTTCCCTCACACATGCCCCTGTTCCCTCAGTCCTTTCCTGCCCTCTTGACAGGATATCCTTTCTCCCATTTTCAGGATGCATCCTGCTCTTGTGTCACCTCCTCCCAGTTCGAAGTAGACTTGCCCTTCTTTGAGTGCTATCATACTTGCTCCTACCTCCCCACTTGCACTCCCCACACTCTACACTGAGTTGTAGAATTTGTAAATTGCTTTACCTCCCCTACAGGATGATAAATTCAAGTCCCCTCTGAGCTGGACTTGCTAACCTCAGATCCAGCCACAGTGCCTTACAGCTTATCTGTACTCAAAAGTATGTGTGGGATGACCAGACAGTTGATAAATAAATATAGGAATATTCTTTATTGCCTGACTCTCTCTGTTGCGGGGCTTCTCAGCTTTAAGGTCTCTGTCTGGTATTATTTCTCTCTTATTCCCCAGCATCATGTTGAATAAGATGAGCACCTTCAAAATTCATTTTTTTGTCAATATAAATACCTCCAACTCTTGGTGCACAAAAGAAATACAAAATATCCCTTAGCTTTTCAGCCAACTGACAATTAAAGAAAGAAACAGATCCAGGTGGGTCCTTCATCTCTAATAACTTAAGAGAATGTCTAAGCCAAATTGGGGTGGTTTGAATGAAATACTGTGCTAATTGGCAAGTGAGAAAATATTTAAATATCCTGTATGCATTAAGTGACATTTAGGTGGTTTTAGATACATGATCATTCTCTTGTTCTCATTTTGCATGTTATTTTTCAAATGGAATATGATCATCCTTAGAAAGAATTAGCTCCCTGTTTTGTCCATGAAGAGACTGTGATGTCATATGAGAATTACAGCTTACAAGGGCAACAGACCTATTAAAACAACACGTAGCCAATCATGCATATACCAAATATAATTGCAAAAAGAAGTTTTTTTAAGACATAGGGTAGCAGCTGGAAAAAAATTTGTTGTTCTTTTTTTGTCCTTAAAACTATTTTTAAATTAATCCTGTAGCTGCAAGTAGCCTAGCTTTTATGGAATTATCTGAAGCTGTCTCTGATGCCTAAATCAGGGCCCTACCATAAAGCTATTTTAAAGTTTTGCTAACATTTCTTTCTTGAAGCCCTCTCCATGGACTTCTTCCCTGGTGATACAACATGTACAAAGCAAAGACTCTGCCCTCATGGAGCTTTCAGTTGAATAGGAAAGAGAGCTATTGATCAGATAAACACCAGTAACTATCTACAAATGATGCCAGATATAAAAGCAACATACCAGATGCTATGGGAACATACAGCAGGCAAAACCACTCTGGTCTGGGAGCAACATTTTAGTTGAAACATGAAATGATTAGTGTTGACTAGGCCGAGAAAGGGATATGGGGAGCAGAGAGAGTATGTGTGTTCCAGAGAGTGAAAATATGTTCAAAAGAGCTGAATAAGTTTGCCTCTGCAAGGTTACATCTTCAGGAAAAACACATCTCTTGGAGCACAGCATCGACTTTTGCTGCCAAATAACTAAAGACACTTGGTTTGTAATTATTTATAAAGCTGTATTTCTAAGGGGTTCATGTGAACATAATATATAAACAAAGGAATTAAGAAGCACAGAAATCTGGATCCACCTTAAGAACTGCTAACCAGATGCTCCTTTGTAAACTATACTCCTTTTGAAAATCTTGATGAGGGCTTTCAACACATTCCCATTATCATATCTAAATTGGACATTCTTTTAGCGACAAAGGGGAAAGGTTAACCAAATTCATAATTTTTTAGCCCACTTTCCAAACATGCTTTCTGGATTCTGGTTTACTGTGAATTCTGATCATTTGCCAAACAAATAATGTAAAATAAATGGCTTATCATTCTGTTACCTCAACAGTTGTAAATCAAGATGGCCAGCCTCTCATAGAAGGAAAACTTAAAGAGAAGCAAGTCAGATGGAAGTTCATCAAAAGGTGGAAAACCCGTTATTTCACCCTGGCTGGAAATCAACTCTTGTTTCAAAAAGGAAAGTGTGTAAGTTCCTTCCTTGTCCTTTACACTTGCATTTTTAAGGTCTTCATCTCCGCCAGCCAGCCTGGCATTTCTTTACACCAATATTTTCTTCTTTCTCAGTTCCACAATTCTGCATTGTCATTCTATTACACATGTCCCTTTAGCTCTCTATTCTGTTAATCCTGTTTCCCTCTTTAGTTTATTATGGGAGTTTTTCTCTTTGTTGACTCAAGTTTCAGAAGATGAACTGCTGAAGGAATACCCAGTGATCTTGACTTGAACACTGTGCTCTTGCTTCCTCATAGATCACCCACATAAATTTCAGTTTACAGTGTTGACTGATTTCTTCTATGAGTGTAGGTTATATGCGGAGGTACACATTCAAGGAAGGGGGACAGTAGGAGGGAAGAAAGAAACAAGGGCCAATATTTAAGTACTGTAGTCAACTAAATTAATTCTGATTAGGGAAAACATTACTTTCTCTCATTCATTTAATACTCAGTTAATGAATAGGATTCTAAAAGAACTCTGATCTTGGTAAATTCTCCAAGAGCTTCCTTCACTTAGTGTTTACAAACAAATCATGCTCCCAAAGCTCCAGAGGGTTTCACAAACAATTCAATCTGCTTAAGCATTGGAACCCTATCTATTCAATTAATACTCCTTTCACAGACAGCACCAAGGAAAATTTAATTTTATGCCTCCCAAACTATCTCAAAATCTGAGTTAATAGTACTCTAAATTGTACTGTTGCACTTTTCTGTATTAAAACAATGTTAATATCAATTTAAAAATTAGATGAAATCAAAGAAGTATGAATTAATCATTTTTCCTAATCGCACTGCATAATAATTTTACATAAATTGGCTATCTTGGGCCAACTTATGAAACTAACAAAGAACTAATAGCCCACTCCTTCCATTGTTGTCAGGACTCTGTAGCCCTAGCACCCAGTAATAGAGGTCTTGAGCCATATGAACTGAAAGAACTGTGATCTTGGAAAATTCTCCAAGAGCCAGAGATCTTTCCATACTCTGGCAGTCAGCTCATGTTCTTTCCTTCACATATGCATTTCAGAAAGATGATCCTGATGACTCACCAATAGAACTCAGCAAAGTACAGAGTGTGAAGGTTGTGGCCAGAAAACGCAGGGACCGCTCTCTCCCTCGGGCTTTCGAAATCTTCACAGACAATAAAACCTATGTTTTCAAGGCCAAGGATGAGAAAAATGCAGAAGAGTGGCTCCAGTGCATCAACGTGGCAGTTGCCCAAGCAAAAGAGAGAGAAAATAGAGAAGTAACCACATATCTATAGGGATTTGCAAGCTGACCTCACCCCGATTGCATACAATGGGCATTGCGTTACCATTGCCAGAGTCATCAAAAAGAGATAAGTTCACCAAGTCATGTTTTTTACTAAATACCAGTGGAACCGTTTTCTGTAAGAAGCAGGACCTAAAAGTGACAAGATTCTTAATACATTTCATATCCTAATTGCATTTTCATTAATTCCAGAACATCTGTGTGATACACACAGGAAAAGAGAGACAGATGACATGGGGCCAGACAGGAGAGAGCTGGGCATCTAGGAGCTTCTAGAGATATGTCATTGTGCACTGAAAGAAAACAACTTAAAATGATACCTGAGCTAACTATCCTGAGGAAACATTAGGCACTTTTGATGAAAACCACAGCCTGTCTAAAGTAATAAAAGAAAAAAAATCTATTAGGAAAAGCCAAATTAATGGACACTCAGGAAAACCATATAACTTACTTATAGATGTATCATTCCATTTATCCTCTCCTAATAAAAATGAAGCTAACACATGGTAAAATGATTCTCAAGTTTAACCTGTTATGTCATTAAATGTCTGTTTTTCGGAACTACTTATCTGATTATTCCTTTTAGGTTTATGTAATATGACAGAAAGTTTAGATACTTGGATATATCTCCTACTTAAGGCAGTAAGTGTGAGCTAGGATAAGCATAGGAAACCATTTTCTCCATCTTCAAAACATGTGCCATTTCCATTAAACTTTGATATTTTAAAGTTCTATACTTTTCTTCTTTGTATCAACATTTTAATACTTTCAAGTGACAAATGTGTATTGGTGTTTGCCATTACCCATAATTTTTTTTAAAAATTTAGGTGTGATAGGCAGCATTCTAGGATGACTCCTACTGACCTACGTCCTGGTATAGCCTCCTCCCACTGAGTGTGACGGGTCCTGTAACTTACTTGTAACTAATAGAATATGGCAAAAGGGATAGGATTGTCTCTTCCATGATTATGTTACATTAAATGGCAAAGATGAAGAGATTTCACAGATATAACTAAGGTCCTTAATCACCTGACTTTGAGTGAATCAAAAAGATATGACCCTGGATGGGCCTGACCTAATCAGACCAGCAGTTTAAAAGAGGGTGAACAAGTCAAAGACTTTCTCTCCCACTGACCTTGAATAAGAAAGCTGCTGAGTTCTACAGCTTCAAGGAAATGAATTTTGCCAACCACCAGCTTGGAAGAAGATCCCAAGCCTCAGTTAAGAGCCCAGCCCGAGCCAACACCTTGACTGCAGCTTTGCAAAACACTGAGCAAAGGACGGAGCTAAATTATGCATGTTCTCCTGTCCCATGGAATCTTTGAAATAATAAACTATGCTGTTTTAAGTTGCGTGAGGGTGTGGTGATTTTTTAATTAGCAATAAATAATTAATACAAAAGTTACTTGGACTGCACATAAAGGATAATTTCTTCCCTCAAAATGTAATAGCCATGTAGTCTACTACAGAAACCTGGAGACAGATTTGTCCATACCTTTAGTTCTACCTTGACTTTACTGCTAACTCACTAGGATAGGAAATATAAAAAAGGTCAAGTTTGAGGAAGGATGCAATTAAATTCTCATGCATTAAGTTTGATAGTGTGAGTCATAGAACTTATTGCAAGTTGGAAATAGAGTTCTGGAGGTCAAAATTTAAGCTCATTGAATATATAAATATGGCCACTGAAGATGTAGAATTAGATGGACTTTGGGAGAATAGGACAAAAAAAACTAATACAGGCTTTCTGGGGACACCCAGCATTTAAGCAAAGCCAGGCTGGATTGGCTGATTCGTATTCAGAGATGTTACACACCAGAGGAAATAATGTCACAAAAGCTAAATAAATAAGGTTTTCAGAAAAAAAGGTAGAGATCAACAATGCAAACTCCTAAAGAATACTCACTTAGGATAGAGACTGACTTTTGTGATTGGAAAAAAGTGGTATCATTGTTGAGAACAATTTTATTGGGCCAATGAAGTAGAAGCCAAATTTCAGTGGGCTGAAGAATCAACAGGGGATTAGGAATTTAAAGCAGTGATTGATTGGACCATCCTTTCAAAACAGTGGGGTTGAGATGTGGGGACTAAAATGGAGAAACTAAAATGTTGTGTGTTTTAAAGAGAAATTCAATTGAAGGGAAGAGAAGTTTCAAATACAGAAAGAAAGAGGAAGAACCACAGAAGTGATGGACATAGATTAAAATTCCTTTACGCCACAATTTGTGGAGCAGCTACCAAGCAATAGGTACCATATTTAGCCTGGAAACACAAAAACAGAGGACCCAGCTCCTCTCCTCAGGGAGTTTACAATGTCATGGAGGAGACAGATACATACAACCAAAAATTGAAATGCTATGTGGCAAGTGCCTTGATGGAAGTTTGCACAAGTCCTGTGGAAACACAAGAGAAGGTGCCACTGTAACTGACTTTGAACTCCAAGTCAAAGCATGGGCTCTCTCACTGTTTCCCAGAAGTGTTGGAGAAGGAGCTAGTCTTGAAGAACTAGGAGTGTTGTGGGCTAACTAGGAGCGAATGGTCAGTAGAGGGAACCACCTTGCAAAAGCAAAAAAGAAGAGGAAATGTGGTTCGCTTGCAAAACAGCAAGTCCTTCTCTAGGACTGAAACATAAAGGACCTTCTTAGGAATGGTTCAGAATGAAGCTGGAAAGGCCTATGGGGCCATAGCATGAAGGGCTTGGTTCCATGTTAGGGATCTTGAGCTTTTCCCTTAAGATGGTGAAGCACCATTACAGGGTTTTAAGACTTGCATTTAGAGAAATAATTTTGATAGTGGTTTAGAGAATGGGCTGTAGGGATACCAAAAATCATAGCAAGGAGCGAATTTGGAAGGTATTTGGTAGGTGATGAGGGACATTAGTAGCAGAAGAGGTAGAGGGAAATGGAAATGCGGGAAAAATAATGAATTAGTAAAATGGATAGGACACTGGTGCATTGGATGGTGCCGGAGTTTAGAGATGGGAAGGACGGAGCTGGGGTTTAGGAATGGGGAGGGGTTTAGGAATGACTCCAGAGTGCTTGCTTGGGAAACATGATGCATGATGGTGGCATTCACTGAGATAGGAAATTCTAAAGCAATAGTTCAAAAGAGAGGCAGATGGCAAACTTAATTTTAATGTATACTTTCAGAGTGTAGATAGGTAATCCACCTTGGACTAGAGGGGCATTTGTATGAAGTTGGGCAGCAAAAGGGTGAGAATAGGATATATTGTAAATGACTTCTAAATATTATTTTAAAATCTACCAGCCCATTTTTAAGAGTCAGTGAGTAGCCCTAGCTAGTTTAACCAATTAAGAAAAATTGGTGACATGGAGAAATAGAGTATTATGTGATATTTCATTAGTTATTAATGGTTTAAATGTTTAAACCTTTTTAAATGTGCTCAAACCTTTCATAGAGAGATTATACTAAAACGCTTGGTATATATTGATTCTATTTTCACCGACTGCTTACTCTAGGAGTGATTCTACCCATTCAGTTTGGAGGAAAAGAATTATTTTTGCTACTTGTTACAAAATCCTAGTGATTTAATTAACTGTATGCTTCTACTTTAGAATACAACTCTCAGATCCTTTGAACCAAATCTAAAAAGAAGTAAATATGTGAAATGTAAGTAACGATCTTGCCGGTTTCATCCCCACGATGCAGTTGTTGTATTAACTCCAAATGCAAACAAATTCTCCTGGGCTCAGAATCACACTAGGAATTTCAGAATCATCAGCTTCCCCGATAGTTCTGGCACTTCCACCCGTTCAAGCCTGACTTGCCACGGACTGGCCTTTCCCAAGAGGACTGCTCTTCCTCATCCTGATCTACAAAGAAACCACTTTTCTAAACATGTTTAAACCTTTTAAAATGTTGATATAAATACAATCATAATTGTGAACAGAAATTCAAGTGGTTCTCATTTTTATTTCATTTTGACTCATTTTCTTTCCCTGATAGCCATGGAAACCAAAACATTTATGTGAGGGATTTTATATGGTTGTTTCTTGAGAACCTGGGGTTTGGTAAAAAATAAATGGGCAATACTTTTCTAATATTGGGTTTTCTTGAAAATCCCTGACTGGGGATGCTAAGGGGACATTTACTGTGTCGTCCTCAATTCGCCTATTTTCTGCAGGCACGTTTGGGCCTATTTATTATGAGTTTATTCTCAGGCATAAATAAAGATTACTTGGTTGAAAAAGCATTCTCCACGTTAGAAAACAACTGCAAGGTGAAATGAGAGAAGATGAGCCAAATCTGAGGTGCACTGCAGAGAGAAAATACTATAAATACCCAAGTCAGGGTTTTAAATGATAGGCTTAAATGGCCTACTTAGGATTTCCAACTCCACAAGTCTGAAGTTTCAGATACAAAACCAAGGAAAACCCAAGATGTCATCTAATTTGAGAATAGCACCGGTGTAGGGACATCTTGGGGCCATTGCTCCCCAAAGACACTTGTAAGAGATAAAGGGCCTGGAAATTCAGGGAAAATTCTACCAGAGCAGCTGAGTAGAAAGCTGAGAAAGTGGCACAGCTCTGTGGGCATGGACACAGGAGGATTCAAATCCAAGCTCTACCAAAGCTAATTTACAACCTGAAGAGATTACTCATGTCCTGTCCTAGGTTGGGAATGATATCTATGGAGCAGAACTGGTATGAGGCTTAAATGTCACGTAAAAGCATCCAGTAGAGGACCTTTAACTTAAAATGTGCTTAATAATGACACTCCATTTGTGATGTAAATGGTTTTAGTACAGAAAAAAAATTCTACCAATGAAATTATGATGCAATGCCTTAACAGTAGTGCAGTGAGTATTGTTTACTTCAAAATGTCTTTTAGAATTTGGCAGCTTCTTCAGACTTTAGGTACTTTGTATGGTATGTTTTAGGTAATTCTTATTTATCTATTTCAGCAACAAAATGAAACCTGACTTTAGCTACATGTTATGTCTTCCTTTCTCCAGTAAAACATTTGTATTGCTTTGCATGACCCTGTGGAATTGTGGTCATTCCTCCAAAGATGGCTTTTTGGTTCACTAATGTCATATTTTATCCTACTCCTCTATTTCTGTATTCCTCTGTGTATGTGATGATTTTTTGTTTCAAAGTCAAATCATATTTTAATTTTGTAAAGACACACTAAACAGCAACTAACACATGATGTTGACCATGCACATAACTCAAATGAAGAAAACACAAATTGCTGGGACCAAATTTAAATGACACCTATTTGTAGTCATTCCTGGTAGATCATTACACAACACTGATTGTAAGATGCATCCCAGTTTCAGAACTGTTAAAATAGAGGAGAAAAAAATATAAAGAAATGCACAAAAGTTAGTGTTAATTTAAGAGTTCTACAGGTTTGTTTCACAGTAATCAAAACTGTATGCAACATTTTTGTGTACAATAAAGCATTTTCCAAATGTAAGAAATCTTAAAATATTTTAAAATGGTTAAGATGCCCCTTCTGCATCCATTCTCAAAGGTGCGAGATCAGCCATTCCTGTGAGTGCCTCCTCTCTAAATTAGTCAGCGTTCTCCAGTGAAACAGAACCAATAGGATGTATAGTGAGAAGACAAAGAGGAGATTTATTATAGGAATTGGCTCACACAGTTATGTAGACTGAAAATTCCAAAATCTGCTCTCTACAAACTGGAGTTCCAGGAAAGCCAGTGGCACAATTCAGTCCAAGTATAAAGGCCAGGGAACCAGGGCCAAAGTCCCAAGAACCAGGGGAACTGATGATGTAACTCCCAGTCCCCCTGAGGACTGGGGGCCATGGTGTGAATCCTGGAAACAAAACCCAAGAACCAGGAGTCCTGATGTCCAAAGGCAAAAGATGGACTTCTCATCTCAAGAAGAAAGAAAGAATTCTCCCTTCCTTCCTTTTTGTTCCATCTGGGGCTCCAGTGGGTTGAATGATACCCACTACATTGGCAAGGGTGGAGCTCTTTATTCAGTCCACTGATTCAAAATGCTAATCTCTTCCAGATATACCCTCACAGACACACCCAGAAATTATGTTTTACCAGCTATCTGGCATCCCTTAGGCCAGTCAAGTTAACACATAAAATTAACCATCACACCCTCTCTTTTGATGGAAGTAAAAATGGCTAATGTCCACACATAAGCCATATTTCTGGTGCCTCTATATCCCCCTTCCTGTGCTCCTGTTTATCCAAGTCCCCTTCCTGGGCAGGGAAGCTAGGTAGGGAATGGGCCAAGATGAAAGAAGCGCAAGGGGTCTGTGGCATGCCTCTACTCACTGTCCCAGACTGGGGAGCCTATAAAGCTAGGATGGTGTCTGAGGAGGAATTCAAGAGCAAGTAGGACGAGC